ATGTAGTGTAAAAGTGCTTTGACTAGAAAGGCGCTATATAAGTACAGTCCCTTTACCATTTACATGGTTATGACATATTTTCTGTTTGCATTCAAAGCAATAATAGAGATATAGTTTTTAATTTCACAAACCAGAGCAGGAGGGGAATGTATTTAGAGTGATAGAGCAATTAAGAGTATTTATGAATGTAAAATTTGGCTTTAAGTATAATAAAATGTATTGGATAGAAAATAAACTAAACCACACATTTTCCCTTTTTAAGGGAAAAAACATGGTGAACTCTGGAAGTTACAAAGTCAGATAGATTCTTCCAAAAACCTCAGTTTGAAAATAAACAAGTCTTAGAATAAATGATCTTAACTTTTCTAAGAGACACACTGACTACAGGGATAAAATCAGTAATTCATTTAAAGGACATTTTTGTTTTATTATTGATCTTCTTCTCCCCAGTTGATGATAGCAGGAGGCATCCGCTCCAATGTCCGCATCCGCACACGCCCCTGGACCACCACTCCGAGCACTGACTGGTGGGAGCGGGTGGTGATGACAGAATTCCAGCCATCCGATTGGCTGGATAAGTTCCGGATGAGCCGGGAGACGTTCTTCTACCTCTGTGATAAGCTGAGGCCCCGTCTGGCTCGCCAGGACACCAGCTTCCGCCTGGCGCTGCCGGTGGAGAAACGCGTAGCGGTGGCTCTGTGGCGTCTGGCGTCCAACATTGAATACCGCACCATAAGCACCCTGTTTGGCGTGGGGAAGTCCACCGTGTGCAGGTGTGTTAGAGACATGTGTCACGCCATCGTGGCGCTCCTCGGCTCCATCTACCTGCGGTCCCCCAGTGAGCAGGAGCTGGAGGATTCAGCCCAGCTCTTCCTGTCCCATTGGGGCTTCCCTCACTGCGTCGCTGCCATAGCAACACTCCACACGGCTATCATCACCCCATCGAACAACGCGTCTGACTATGCCAACCCTGCTGGCTGGCTCTCAGTGCTGTCTCAGGTAGAGAGTGTATCCATACATGCTGCTGCAAATACACGCTCACTAGATTTGAACATTTTGTCTCTTTCAGGTGGCTGTTAGTGGCCGGGGGCAATTCTGGGATGTATGTGCCAGTTTCCCGGGTGGGACGGACCCAGCTGACATATTACAGAACTCATCGCTGTGGGCCACGGCTGCAGAGGGTGGACTGTCGCCTGACCCACCACCTATCTTCATGGGGAAACCACTCAGGTAAAGTTAAAGCACAACAGCGCGACGGTTGAATCGCAATTCAATTCAGTACCATGTCACAATTTTTCAGGCATTTAATGACAAATTTAATGGAAAAAAGTAAGTCGTTAGTCTTTTCCCTCTTTTCCCTTTGTTTATTATATTTTCATCCAGCCTTGAAACAGCATCATGTTTTAGGTTTAGATCTCAAATTTCATGATAGAGAGGGAATAATTGTCCAAATGACATAACATTTGGACTTATATCTTGTCTTTCTCACACTTTTGAGCCTGTTTATAACCTTAACCTTATTTTTGGATAAATCTTATTTTTCATGAGATTCTGTACTGATTTGAAAATGTACCAGAACACATGTTGTAATGTACAGAGGTTTAATCATCTCTGCCTCCTAAGTTAACCTTAGATTATATGTCTGAACTCCTTGCGGAAATGTTGCAGTGCTGCAGTGTCTTTTTAGGATGTTAAGTCTTCCACTGTGTGCTAACACTGACTGAAAACCATCTGCCGTGTCTAGGTATGTGCTGCTGGGGGAGGCCTGCTACCCTCTCCAGAGCTGGCTAATGAAGGTCTACCCTGAGGAAAAGGGCAGGAGGGCAAGCCACGCAGCACTGACAGAGCCACAGTGGCTCTTTAACCGGCAGCTGATCAGAGCGCTGCGTGTCCCTGAGGAGGCGCTGCTGAGGCTGAGGGCGCGCTGGCAGTGCCTGAGCAAGAGGAACGACTGTGGACTGGACGTGGTGCCCACCATGATTCTAGCTTGCTGCATTCTGCACAATATGTGCGAGTCCCACGGCGATGCCTTCAAGGCAGAGTGGCAGGAGGAGGTGGCCGAGGCAGAGAGCCCTCAGCCCGGCCACAAGCAGCTCCTCTCAACCAGTATGGACCAAAGTCACGCTGAGGAGGTCCGACAACTCTTCTGTGACTATTTTGAAGAGCAGAACAATTAAAATAAGCTTCCTACACATAAAGACTAATGTTACTGAAATCCTTACAGTTACATACTTTTAATTGAACCTAAATAAAGCAGAGATGGACAAGTTAAAGCTTAGGCTGATTTAAAATAACCTCAATCTGCCAAATTAGACCTCAGCCTGTGAAACCAAGTCTGAGGTGTTCCAAAATCACAATAATAATGGGAAAAAACACTTTTGATTTAAACAGGAATGTGTGTTTACTTTGGTGCCACCATGTGGCTAATCTTAACATGTGCCCCACTAAAGCAATAAAGTATCCTCCCCCCATTTTCCCATCAAACAAACAGTTGTTTTCTATTACGTAATAAGCATCACAGCCTGAATGGGTTGCTGACATAGGCTATACTACTTTTTCTATCTATCATGACCATTGACAGTATATATAATCATGATGACACTGTGCTAATTTATTTTGTACACTTTTATGTAATGCATTATTCCATAAAGATTCCAGTTTTTGTTTGTTTTTTATTTAGTTTTATAAGTTTGTTGTATATATTGGTTTCATCTTATCTTTGATGTTGTCTAATTACCTATTTTGTAAACGTGTAAACATAAACATTTGTTATACAGTTGTGGAAAATACAAAAAAAATATTTTGCTACTTTTCTGGAAACCAATATTGCACATTACATGGGTCTGAAAGAGTTAGTTATAGGTGATTAAAATGAGATCGATAGCTCAGGGATGCTGGAAATCTGTCCTTGGAGAAATGCAGTCTATATTATGATGTTGTGGTTTTACATTAATTTGAATGGCCAAGATAATTTATAGCCCAATTAATAGTTATTAACACATTTTTTTAATAACTTATGGATAAAACAAGGCTCTTTCCTGTCATCAATACCAGTACACATGTATATCCCAGTAAAAATAGAAAACCTCATTATAAGTTTAACATTTTAATGAACTAATGGTTTTAATTGTGCCAGATTTGATTTATTTTAGATTTCCAGCGCCCAATGATCCCACATTTTCCTGAATTACCGAGCCTCTTCCTCCTTGCCTGATGGACTGAATGAACACTGACCAGATGTTACATGCAAGTGTACTGCACGGCCACAAGATGTCGCTGCTGTCCCAGCATACATCCAACCACAGTCGTAGCTAATAATGTGTCTTTGCTGCTGCTTTGCATTGTTACTGCATGTTATTGATGAAGTGATGGGGATTATCTCCTTATTGGGATGCATTGTGTCTTGATGATTGCACCAGACCAGAGAAGTATTGTGCCAGCATACAGGCAGCAGGTGGTGGCCTCAAGGAGCTCGCATGCATCGCCTAGAATAATATATAAATCTGAACAATCCTCCTAATTCATACATATTGGGTTGGGTTTTTATTATTTTTTTTGCATCTTCTCATCGACCTAACTTGTGCGCCCACAGTCCACCCTGGAGGACCCGCCTCGTTCATTCAATTGGTCTGTCACAAGCCTGTTTCATGCAACTCTCCCGTCTGTCACTCAACACCACAGTATCTCCTCCTCTTCGCATCAGACTGGTGTGTGTGCCGACCTTGTTCCAGCGACGAGCTACCCGAAAGCCAGCTGTTTGCAGCGAATACATTTCTGGCGTAAAAAGCCGCCCGGTCCGGCACGCATTTAAACCCCCCTGTTTCAGTTCGGTGGTGGTGGTAGTCGTGTATTTTCACCGTCAAAATGAGTCAGGGTGCGATGGGGTGCTGCCCTGCTATCGCTAGCTAGGCGGACAAATTCCTTCAACCCAGCTCGCCGTTTCAATCACTGCGGGTTGACACAACATTAGCCGAGGCGTCGTTAAGTGAGCTAGCGGGCTAGCGGGGCAACGCTCGTAGCCGTTACGTGTTATATTTAGCCAACGGTCGCTAATGTAGTTGCTAAGCGAACGGACGCATCGCTGCGGCGTGGACAGTGCAGTAACGGTCGCCCGTCGAACGTTAGCGTACTAGCAACGGTTACTGCTTCTACTAGCGGTGAACTAGCGAGCTAACGTCCGCGAGCCCGCACAGACATCGACCGTTACGGGTTTTTGGATGTCGCGACGCTGCCGTTGCTGAACCGCTTTTGACGGGATCGTGTTGGCGACGGGGTTGGACCGCAGTGACAGGCGAAAATACGGAGCTGGAAGCGACAAGGGAGAGAGAGAGAGAGGGGTTAATGCGATAAAAGCAGGTTTTGAGTGGCTAATCTGTTGCGGTCGTTTTTAAAGCATCTCGGGGAGGCCCCGCCGTCTCCTGACTCCCTCCCCCGGTCCGAATCTGCCGTGATTTGCCGAGAACACCCGGGTGAAGTCGCAGTTGCTCTCGGCTGGGGGGACAACTTGACAGCGAGGCCCCTAGCTAGTCTCCCCTCCCCCAGCCCCGTCCATCCATCCATCCATCCATCCATCCGCCCGTCCAGCCCGACAGACCACCTCCTCGCCCAAGATCGAGGCGAGCGCCGGGGATTCGGGATAAGCCGAAACCGTGGGCAAGTGTTGTGCAGGGTCCCGTCTAAACTGGGCTGCCAAAACCAGAGGGGATGACTCTGGAGTCCATGATGGCTTGCTGCCTGAGCGAAGAGGCGAAGGAGTCGAAACGAATCAATGCAGAAATTGACAAACAACTCCGCCGAGACAAGCGAGACTCCAGGAGAGAGCTGAAATTACTTCTTCTCGGTATGTGTGCATGCTTATTCTCAGATACGTGTTTTTTTTATTTTTTTTTATTGTCATGTCTTGCGTCGTTGTGTGTGTGTGTGTGGAAAAAAAAAAAAAAAAACTAAGCTTCTTGGGCCTTCTTGGCAGTGCTAGCAGATATGCTGCTAGTTAAGGCTGCTAGCTGGACGCCTGGTTTCAGTATGAGTAATGTTTTATGGCATGAAATGCGAAATGCGTGGCTGGCCTTTCTTTTTTTTTGTTTTTTTTAAAAGCTTTCGGGGGGGTTGATTGTTTGTTAGCGGGCTTGTCCAGATGCATATGTGCAAGAAGTGTCTTTATTCGTGCATTTGCATTGGGGGGGGGGGTGCAGACAGCAGCGCATTTTGGCATCGAAGTTGCTAAGATGTCACCGTTTACAGGCGACCACATGCTTGTCAGTGGGCCAGTTTGACACCACTGACTAACCCTCAAGCTGATCAATTGGCCGGCTTCAAAACTGCCACCGTGGTTTGGTTGAAAAGGGGTGAAGATAGGTGGAAGAAGCAGCTGTGGGTCGCTTCCACCAGGTTGCATAAGGTTTGTACAACTGGATGAGGCTTCAGGTGCCTCGCTTTTGGGGGGGGTCCATTCATTCATTTATCAATTATTAGTCTGTCACAAATCTACCCATCCGGAGGACAGGGATACTGAGGGATTTGCCCCCTCATCCTCTAGTCTAGCTGAGTAGGTTAGCTATTTTTATAGCTGGTGTGTGGGCAGGTGGGAGCTGCTGTTGAATAAGTTGCACTGTGCTGCATTGATTCATAGTTCTGTGGACACCAAAAGGGAACAATAGCCTGTGCTTTATCACAAACGTACCTGCGCGTCGCTTTTTTCAGGAGAATCTGTTTTGTGTGCATGCATCTTCTCACAGGCTAACTTCAAACCTGGTGCGCACGGTTAAAACAACAGATAGGTGTGAAAGCTCCTTGGAAAAGAAAGGAAAAAAAGCAACGCAGGTGTCCAATTTTAGGACAATTAGAATAATCTAGGTTGCACGCTTAGTTTCAGAAACGTTTGCTCCCATTTCTCGCCCACCTAAAGCAGCCCTGGTTATTTGACATGTGTGTCTCCTTTCATTTCCCCGCTGAATACCTCCGCTTCCAGAAGTAGGCCACACCAGAGCCGCGCTTGTTGATGGGACGTGTTCTGCTCTGTGTCACACATTTACACTCTTTTCCTACCTGGTGGCCAAGGTGAGCTGGGTTGAAAAAGGGGGGGGGGTGTGTGTGTTTTCGTGTCGCAGTTTTAAAACAAAATCACATTTCTCTCGCCTGGTGATCAATGAAGGGATGGGTTGGACTGTGTGAATCCAGGATGTGCAGAAATGTAGGTGATCATTTACGCAGACATTAAAAGCACTTATCAGAGTGTGTGTGTGTGTGAGAGGCAGTGAGCAAGCGAGGATTGCGATCAGTGGCGGTGTAAGTGGCCCGTCCTGCGTGAGTTAAGGCTGTCAGTGGACGCCCGGATAAGGACGTGTAAGGCAGGATTAGCGCAGGTCTTAATAGGCTTGGTTAAACACATCCGCTGCTCAGACTCTGAGATGTCACTGACTCCTATTATCCCCTGGCGTTATTCTCAGGCCCCGTGTGAGCTGCCGGCCTCTCCGCACCTCGCCGAAGGAAGAAGACAACCTCTGTTTCCTGAACGTTTACGCTCCGTCGTGTGTGTTTTTCAAAAAGGGGGAAGGAGAAAGTGACATTGAGCTGCATATTTAGTGTTTATTCATTTCAGTTGAATGTGGTGGGAGTTGTTCTGTCGTTATCTGCAGTTCAGTGCACGTAGAGGAGAGGGGTTTTACATTTCAGCGAGGCTCAAGGCAACGTATACAACCGCTCCTTCTGGTTGAGTGTTCTCAGTTTTAGTCGTACCTAATGTGTTACTGCAGACGGCTGTAGCTTTTAGTCCTGAAATATCAACGTGTGGAGGCATGCGGTTTCTTTTTAAGGTCCCACAATTCAGATCACATCCGATGTCGTGTGTCTGGAGTTGTTATAGAACGGTTAATGTAGGGCTGAAACGATTAATCGATTGGTTGATCAAAGTAAACTGATTCAGCAACGATTCTGATAATCTAAATAAGCATTTATCAAGAAAAAAAGGTCATTTACTTCCAGTTCCAGCTCTCCAGCAAGAGCAAGAGCAGTTGTAGTTATTGTTTTATATCATTTTAGATCAAATATTAAAGACTATTGTTACTCAGATGAATTAAATAATTTTACGTCTACTTTTAGGAAGGACTTGACAAATGAGTCATATCAAAGCCCAAGGTGACGTCTTCAAAAGTGGTTGTTGGACCAGCCCAGAGGTCCATAACTGCAAAGATAATTTGATGAGTGTAATGTAAAAAAGCAGCAAATGGTCATATTCGAGACGCTGAAACCATTTTTGCTTGACTGCTACATTTTCCAAACAGTTGATTGACAGACTAACTGATGAATCTTCTAAATGTTCAAGCTCTAGGTTGATATAAGAGCTACTACCACTGGCGCTCAAAGCATTTCCCCCTACAAAAAGTCTTTTTCTCACACTAACTCAGGTCCACCCTGCCACTGTGTGTGTCTCTCTCCTCCTGGCAGGGTTTACGATATGGCCAGTGTCTCGACAACAGCTATGAGGTTTGAAGTTTCCAGACTGAGAGCACAGGGAGGGTGAATGTTACGGTTAGTTTTGTAGGTAAGAGCTGCAACAACCTCAAGGCTTTACCCACTCGGTCAGAAAATAACAGCTCTGTTAGGGCTGCAGCAGTGCCCACAGTCTGGCTGCCTGTCACTGAGGGCCATATCAGGCCATACCTCCAGCTTCCTGCTCCACAGACCAGTGGTTTGCCTCTACTTGGTCAAAACACAGTGGGCCAGGAGCTGTGGCCTTTGCTGCATCGGGTAAATGAACTGCTGGAGCGAGCGAGCGGTCAGCAAAGAGAGATGGAAGGGCAAAACGCTTCCCCAAAAGTGCTGACCGAGGTAAACCGTAAGCTCCCAGTCAAGCTGTCAGTGTTCGAGTTGGCATTCGCTTTTTTTTTCTTCTTTTTTTGTGTGAAAATGTGGGTTTCACATGAAATCTGAGGAGCAGAAAGTCTGGTGATTAGTCAAAAACCCCCACAGTGACGTCAGAAAGGCATTTTTTGGTCGTCAGAGAATTTGTCGAGCGTTAGTGTTCGAGAAAAGGGTCTGACTGGGGCGAAATGTCGCGGCTGGTTTTGGTAGCACGCCATCCGAGGCAGAGGTTTAATGTACAGTCAAGTCCTCATCGATTGAACTGTTGTTGTTTGATCCTCCCTGCATTAGTCTTGTTTCCAGGTGAAGACCTCCTTCAGAGGAACAGGCTGATTTGAACCAGGAAGAGGATCAGAGGTTAGGCTCAGATGTTTATTGCTGACCTTCCTTCTCTTGCCAAGCCGTCTTATTTTGATCATATATGGCAATAGGGATCTTCTAGCTCTACTCCTCAGTGTGTGTGTGTGTGTGCGGTACTTTTAATGCCAGTGAATGTGGAGCTCTGGATGGTCAGCTGTTACTGAAATCCTCTTTATCTTGGTGAGATCTAACACTTTTTAATATGGAAATTATTATGAGACCGGCTTTTGCGATATTCGAGGGTTTAGAAAATCTGATAAAACTATACTGGCTGATACAGATTTACATGGACACATAAAATAAGCGTTTTTGATAAAGATTTCTTAAATAAGGCTGTTAAGACATTGTGACCAAGCATTATGCACTGGGCAGGCACTTCTTTCTGGTCGACAAACCGTGTAATGGAGGCGCTGTTTCTAAATAACTTACAGATATCTTTGGGCTTTCTCTAACAAACGCACATACATTAATACATCTATAACAAGCTTATATCAGCCTCAATATTGACCCAACCTCTAGCACACTGAGAGTTTTGCATCGATACAGCCACAGAGAAACACTCAAGCGGTCGCTGTGAATGGAAATGTTTTAGTCATCATTCAGTAAGACGCTTCTATGACTTGAGATTTTATACTAACACTCTGGTAAGATTATATACAGCTACTAATACTACTGCTGACAAATCTATTAATTGAAACCAGCGTGACCTAAAGCTTGTCCAGTTCTCTCAGGAAGGTTTGACACAACACCGACGGAGGCCACTGTCCTTCCTCTTTAATTTATAACATTTTGGGGCAATCGAATGCCTTCATTAATAATAATTAATGTTCAGGCCAGACTTAGAGAGGATGTTGTGGGTCACAGTCGGCACCATAAACCCAGAGATTTTATTTCAACAGACGTGAAAAGCGCGCGTATTTGTAAACACGTTTGCATGGATTGCTTTAGGTTTCACGTGGAGACGAGCAGGTTCGAGATTTGTCTCCGAAAAATGAGTCTGTGTCACGCAGGATGTGCGAGGCCTTGGAAACACTGCAGCTGCTTTGTTTGATAGTGTAGTTTGTGAAAAAGGTTTTGTTCTGGATACATCAGTGTGATGGGAGCGCTGTGTGTCCGACCATGTGTCGGATCATCTCTGATACCTGACTGCAGTAAGTAAGTAAAACTATTTATGTAGCAGCTTTTTGACACAGAGATCCAAAGTGCTTTCCATACAACAAATAAATAAACTAAAAACGGAGACAATCATAGTAGCCATGTAAACAACAAAGGAAGATAAAACAAGGGATAAATTAGAAGAACGACAGATGGAAAAACAAACGAGGAAGACTATAAAAAGGCTTTCCTGTAGAGGAGGGTTTTGAAAAACCTGTGGCCAGTAGGATTATTTATAAAGTATAACATTTGAAATGTCTTGATTTCAAGTCATTCGTTGATGCTGATGTCACACAGTATGTTCTCCATTAGAGCTGCTCGATTACGGAAAAAATCATAATCACGATTAT